GCAAACAGGGCACATCGTTGTTGGGGAATCCCCAATAGGGGGGGGGTCGTATTTGGGCTGGGAAAAATTTATTTTGATAGTTGATTTTTCTCGCTTCATGGACGTTGTAAAAGGGAGGGGGGGTCGTATAGAGTCGACTACCCCAACCGATGATGTGCCCTGCAGCAAAATTTTTGGGGAAAATAGGAAAAGTCGAAATTTCCGGAAAAAGTGGTGTGAAGTTGGGAAAAATCTGAGAAATGGTAGAAGGGGGTCGTGTTTCCCTCGCGGCTTTTCTCGTTACACATGTGCTATCAAGGAAGCAATAATGGTTCAAAATGCCCTCCTCCCTGTCGCCGAACTGCGCCGGTTGGCAGTATGCTCTGAGCGGGGGGAGGATGCGTGGCGCTCTCAAAAAAATTGATGTCAAAAGTTTTGTACCGTACGTCGTACGTTGGGAAATCCCCTTGGGGGCTGTCACATTCGGTCGGTGTAGGTAGAATGGACGTATTTGGCTTGAGGAAATTTTCAGATACTTCTTTTTCTTCTGCTCCACGCGCGCTAACTGCGTCGATGGGAGTATTCCAGTGGGGGGGGGTCTTGGTTGCTAGCAGTTGAGAGAGAAACGGGCGTTGCTCCGAGAGAAATTTCCCAAGTCGAAATAAGTTTCTGCCGATTGTGGACTTTTCGCGAAAAAGTGGTAAGTGGTCGGAATGGAAAAGCTCGCTAGGGGGGTCTACCTTATTATTAGCCCAAGGTGTACTGTAGGTTCTTCATGACGGTATGGTGCAATTAACAGTCGAGCCGCGAAACGGCATCAATTCGAAATTCGCGCGCGAACGCTCAAATGCGCGATAAACTTGGCGTTTAGGCCACCTGCTGGGTTCTGGGGCCCTTCTACTGATTTTCGAAGGTTTTTATGTTTTCAATAAAATCTGTTACTTAGTGTCTCTCGGGGTAACCTTGAGGTTCCGAAAAAAGAAGGGTTTTTCCGAGCCACGAAGCCTTGCTTAATCCGTTTTTTTAACTTTATTTGTGTACCCATCAATTTTCTCTTGTCCCCCATTCTGCCAGTCATTGTGATTTTGTTTTTATTCCTATGTTTTCAATCCTTAGTATTACCTTTCCTACCGAAATTTTTGAATGTTAAAATTTCCCAGTTCGTTTTATCAATTCCTTAACAACCGTATTGACAGATTCCTGTCCCCTTGTTAAGGTATGCCACTGGCTGAACCGACAGACTTGATAGTGATACCAGCAAAGAAACTGTTTTCTGATATCAGTAATATGATCAACTCACCATGCTCTGTCGCAGTAAAAGAGGTGAACCCTGAAAAGTAAGTGGCCCTCTTTTTCAATTTTTTTACTCATTTGTTATAAACTTTGGTGGGTGCTGAAGTAGTTAGGAGGGGGCACTTGCCCGTGTCTCCGTGTTAGTCCCACAGACAAGACATAGTCCCAACCAGGGTGCGTGTGTGAAATGGCTGTGTCAGCACACCGCCCTCCCCCCTCTCCCAAATTTCCAAGATTTTCAGGATGCGACTCCATGGGCCAGGAACGACTTCCCCTCCCCAGTGACCAAATAAGACCCCCGCTGGAATTCTCCCTGCGTTGCTGTGCACCCTGGTCTACATTGAGCCTGAGCTGTGATTAGTGTCAAGGAAACGGAGACACTGGCGAGTGGTCCAACCCCCCCCCTCCCCTCACGCACGTTAGCTCGTTTCATGTTTCTTCTATTCGCATTTTAGACCTCGTCCAATACGTCACAAAATCGCCGGTACCCGCTCCCTCATACCTCACCAGATGGCCCCGCACGCCACCGTGCCCCGGTCTTATCCGCTGGCCATGCGCGACTCTCTTCGCGGCCCGCAAACCGGTCTCCGACCCGCCCACTACCATAGCTTGGCAGCGGCACAAGCCGCAGCTGCCCCCCCCGTCAGCCGCCTCGCCTCATTCCCTCACCAGGCCATTAGCATTCGGCGCCACGCCCGAGCTCGCCCGACCCCCGCCCATACCTCACGCTCATGCCTCTCCCTCCTCGCCCTAGCGCCTCAAACCAAATAGAGGAAAATGATACGGGAGCGCTGGTTTGAACCACCTTACCTCCCGCAGCGTTGAACACCGTCTCAGGACTACCCTCACGGGTGATGGGCACCGCCCGGAAAACTCCCCAGCGGTGTACGCTGCCATCCAAAATTCGCTGCGAGTCGCATTAGCCCCAGGCCAGGCATTTATTGGAGATTGGCCATCGTGTTATGCTAGGGGGGGCTTTGCGTAGAAGCACGCTTCATCACTAACTACCGTAACGGATTTTTACGGTCGTACTACGATGCCTGTGCCTCATGAGTCGCCTGCGCCTCGTCTTATGACCTTAGGTCTGGTATTAGGAGGGCCCAAGACTATTATTACGTTCAATATTCCACGCATTCTTATCCATGAGCATGCTGCGTGTTAATGAAATTAAGCTGTGAGGGTGAAAGGCGGCATTGGTGATGTAATGATTAGCATTCCAGCCCACGAAGCGTGAGGTCTTGATTCGAATGGTGGCAGGGATTTTCCCACAGCTGAGCATTTTTGTGCCAACTGTCCTTTCTACTTTAAAAGAAAAAAAATAATATTCGGGAGTATAAGTGGCTTAATTGGTGGCTGTAACCTGCAGGTAATGTACGAGAGCTTGAACTTAATCCCTTTGAATGCGCCGGTCTCTCGTTTCTCTTCACCATATCGTTCGTATGGTGTTCTGTGGTCATTGTGAGCTCACATAATCTAGTTTTTTACATATGACAAGTTGCTCCACCTCGGAATCTTACTCGTCCAATTTGAAAACCCCAATCCTTGGCTCGTCACATGTTTGTCCCACAATTCGATGCTTTGCCAGCCGCTGTTTTCCATCAGTCTGCGTTGCATGGTTTCGCAACATGACCATTACAAAAGTTCAAGCTGTCACGTAGCCTAGTCCATCTACCGTAGCCCCCCAAACACCACGGTTTTCTTCGCTTGCTCTTTGTCTGGAGAAGGTAATTCGGTGCTCTGACGCTTGGCACCGGCGCCAATCCGGCACGAGCCGTTTGTTTAGGCAAACTCCGTTTCTTTAGCAAGTTCTTACTTAAGGGTTGTTCATATCAAATATCACTTGGATTTTACTCAACAAAGACTTGAAGTGTGTTAGGAGAGGGGTAAACTGGGCCAGTTGGGTTGATGCCCGATCAATTCGGCTGTCGCTAAATGGCGTCGGCGTAGAACATCAGCGCAATATTGGTGTTCAGGGCACGAAAAAGACCCTTATTCATAAGTTTAAGAGAAATTTAACAGGGAAGATGAGAGGACTAAACTGGCTCTGAATGACATCAGCGCCAAAAATGAGCGTCGAGTCGTTAACAAAGCACTGAACAGCCCCAAGATGACGTCCGGAAAGAAAAGCAGGCATTCCACGTTGAACATCTTATTCGTAGCAGATGACGGGGCGTGCCCGGAGGTACGGTTTTGGCATGGCGCCAAAACTGTTTTCCACCAGTAATTGTTGCTCAGCCACTTCAACAAGTGGTGTCAAATGGATTTGGCTATGCCAAAGCCTGCCTATTTAACACGCCGCATCATCCGCAGCAA